CCCTGCCTAGCGATCACTCCTTTAATTTTCCCGCTACCGCTTCACCTCTGACTCACCCCCTTTTTCTCACCGTTGACCTGCCTCGTCGCCAGTACCCCACCTCGGGTCCTTGGCCCACGAGTCGTCATTGACTCTCACGCCTCATCTCTATTTCTCCCACCGAATTTTTGTTGCCTCACTTCGTCACCGCCTCCTCATCTTGTTTCTATTGCTCTGTCCCTCGCCTAAACGCTGCCTCGTCGCAGCTACCGGTCGTCCTCGTCTCATTTTGTCTCGTCTCGTCACCTCCGGCGAGCAAGACCACGCGGGATATGTAATCACCGTGTGCCATTGTCGCACAGGGTGATGCAACTGAGCCCTAACTTACCTGAAGCAATCCCCGTGCTTCTCACACAAGCTTACGGACTTTACGTTACGGGTTAAATTGAATTTAATAGGTGCTTACCGCGGACTCCCTGAAATGAACTCTCCGTTAATTAGAGAATGCAAAGACGCCGCGAAATTGTCATAAATGTTGTACAAATACGCTTGGCAATATGTTTACTGCAAATTCTTTTAGACATTTCTCTATTCGTTGCACTTTCATCCTCATTCTTCATTCATTTGAAATATTATATTTTCAACGCTTATACTAACGAATAAAATTGAAATACTTATATGTGATTCACAGTGGAAATGAATGATAAAATTATGTTTAACTCAAGACATTCTTTGCTTTCGGTTAGACATTAATAAAGAAATTACTCAATATTTTTGAAATAAAATAGATCTATATTTTTAAAACTTCGCAAACGTCTTATAATATTGAAATCAAAATCCTCTACGTGAAAATACAAGCATTGATACCTTAATGCTGCCTTGCACACTACTTCAAAAGTCCAAATTCAATTGTGGCATGACCTTCATACAACTACCCCCCCTCCCGAGTTCAGAAATTGAATGTCACGAAATATAGGCACGATTTCCAGTAAACTTTGAGAAAGGGAAATACGTAAAATGTCAATGCACCATAGTACTTCATTTAAAGCTTCATGTTCCACCTAAAAGTTATAGTTCTTGACGTCATTTGGAGGACACAGATGACTCGCTACAAAACCAGTTTTTCCTCTTCAAGATGTTAAATTCTATCATTTGAAATAAAATAAAATGTAGCCTTTCAATTAATTTTTGTTTAGCGATTAAATGATTATCATTCAATTTTTTCTTACCAATTTCCTATCAAATTTTAATGTGGTATATGTACAGGAAAAAAGTCATATAACTTTTCAATTTCTTCAATTGAAAAGAAAACAATTTTGGAATAGTGCCCTGGTGGGGGGCTATAGAAGTAATAATGTTTTATCAAATGAGCATTCAATAATTATTTGTGTTAAGATATTTTGTGTCGAATATATTTTAGAGACTATTATATATACGTTCACAGTTATTTGAACCTGACCTTCGCAAATTTATGTGGTTAAATCAGATGCCCGTATTTTATATACAACTTTACTTTCTTAAACATCTCAGGCAGTACTTCATTTAACGAAACAAGATGCCAACAACACTCCAAACATGTTAGAGAATTCAAATTAGACTCCGTTATTTTGACAGTATTTTCTCTGCTCCGAATTTTATCAGTTCAACGAGACTCGTATTTCAAACGTTTACGCGAAAGAGGTGGGTTTACCGACAAACTTCGAATAGAGCTCTGGAAGAAATCCAAAGTTCAGTGGTGAAAGACCTCCTCAGAACCGCGACTCTAGCGAGGAGTTTATCGTGAAACAGTATTACTTCTTAAATAAAACCCCTATCTTTTAACAAACGAGCCGTTGTCGTAGACCGATACAGAGAGCAGTATCTTCGCAAGGATCCGCGACGCGAAGCGCTGTGTGCCATGTGGGCTACTGGGGCAAGGAACAGACTTTGGCACGTCAACTGCCGCAGCACTATGGTCCCAAAGCCGTAATCATGGACATAATAAAAAAAACAATCGACTTGGTAAGATTTACTTATCGGATTTGATTGTCTTGGGACCCCTGCTGAAAAGCCGACGAAACAAAGCACGAGTTCAAACCCGGTTAGAGAAAGCTTTTTTAACCTATGCGTACTTCATGGCATTCGCAAGGCGTGGATCGTAAGAAAACGTGCTCTTTTGAAACGCGTACAGTTATTGTTATATCCACCGTTTGTAAAGGGTAAAGTGGATTCTACTCTTAAACGTATGTTTAATTAGATGTAACAATAGTAATTGTTAACAATGTATCTGAAATAACAAATGAGTAAAGAAATTAGATACAATTTTATTGATGTGCTTTTTAAAATAATTTTGAAAAAGGTACAAGTCAAAACTCTATTAGACGTCTTCATTTTAATCCAAGTTTAATTTGTTTATTAGACATTTCTTTTTAAGGAATAAGCAATAACTAGCTACGGAACGTTGTGAATGAGACTACTGAAACCGCTGAAAACTTGTGGAAGTTTTCAACTTTTGGTGTAGGTAGTGAACAATTTGACGCTAATTAAACACACTTTTGGTTCCCAATTTCAGATCGATAATGCGATTGGTTAAAAAAATAACCTCCGACATTCGATCCACTATTTTGTTTTATCAAAAAGTGGCCCCGATTCTTAATCAGTCACCCTGAAAACTACGCATACAATATGGTATAATAAGTAATACAATTTGATATAATTCTATACACATTTTCGTTACAGGATCATTTAATGATCACAATTTCGGGAGTTGGGGCCATAGTGCGTCCGGAGAGCATTGCGGCTTTGACCCTGAGCGCGAATAGCCGCTCGGCAACTCGTGTGTGAAGACGCAGAGCGAAAGTCACTTTCGTAACTTGTACTTTATTTGGAACTAGTTCTCTTAAAATAAATGGGCAAAGGCGTTGTAAAGAATGCACGGCTTTTGCTCATGTGCTTGATCAGACGTCCACGTCCTTGTGATCCACTTGTCCAGCTCATACTAGCTGGCTCGGGCTCACGAACTGAGACACGCAATTGGGTGTACGTGAAGAGTAATTAAAAGAGGAGGGGGCTCTATGGAAAAAGGAGGGGAGGGTAGCCGATGAAGTAAAATTGAAAGGGAATGAGTTTTTCGCATTACCAATAAAAGCGATAACGAGAAAGTTAGTATGATTTTGTGTTATCTTGTCGGAATTGTTTTATTTAAATAACAATATAGTTAAACTGGTTTCTCAAATACGTATTAATGTTTCTTTTTCTTCTTCTTCTTATAATAATAATAATTTATTATTATTATTATTATTATTATTATTATTATTATTATTATTATTATTATTTACATTTCATGGATCAATAATCATAGAAAATTTAAATTTAAAAATACATTACTAAAACACTCGTGTCCACCATGTAATTGAGCTTTGGTGGAATCACAATTAAAGAACTGTTACACTTTTTAAAAAAACATAAACAAAACTGAAATAGCCTTGGGAATATATTGTTCTATGTTGTATATTATACTCGATCAAAAATAGAATATCTGACATCTAACGCAAACATAATACCTCATATGCTTTCAGTGGTGTTTGCCGAATAAGCAAAGTGGAGGGAAAGTAGATCACCAACTCAAGCAGCCTGCTCGTCGTCAGCGGAAGCAACGGTACACAATACGTCGTCAGCAGCAGTTCATCATTGTCTCGAATTTGTCAAAAACCGCGCTAAGGCGTTCGGGACATTCCATGTATGTGATGTAGGAAGATATGAGACAGTTTTATTTGAGTTTTTGAACTCGAGAGTCAGTAAAAATTGCTTCAGCAGGGAATAAAGAAGAAAGTTAAAATTGTTCTGAGACTTAGTATTAAAATTGTTGTGAAATTGAATGCTAGTTTTAAATATGAAAAAGTCAATTCTGTGAAGATGATCTGTCATAATCTACATGTTTTTTCTTAGTATTTTTCAATTGCTTTATAGTTTTAACTTTCTCATATTAATAGCGAAATACATTTGTTATATAAACTCGTTTAATACACATTTTTACGCTGTGCATTTCTCTGGTATTTCTGCTGTGTGATTTGTAATATTGATTTTTTTAAAATGTATATTTCCTTCATTTAAACGGTATTTGTTTTTCCATCAATACGTTTCCACACTAGAGGCTTGATTCAATTAGAGATATTCGATGTATTGCGGTCTAAAACTAGATATCACTAGATCTTAATAAATTGTGATTGTGTTTACTCCCAGAATAATTGAGAAGATAAAAAGGGGTTCAATTTGATTTTGCTTTATTAATAAGGCAGGTATTCTGAAAGCAATGTGGTTCAGAGTATTCCATTAAATTGGACCTGTAATTGAAGCAAAACAAATGCACATTATTTGGCGAGTTATTTGGGAATACAGTGACGTTTGGATGTTAATATTTTGCAAGCATATGGGTTGAATAGAGAGCAATTTTTCTTCTGTAAATGCTTTGTGACATGTCTGCTATCACATCTTAAACATTTTTACAAAACGTCTGATTTGTAATCTCCGAATGACAAAGAAAAAGAAGATGATAAAGTCTCAGCCACACCTCTTAAGCTTAGACTTGACACCAAAGAGCTGTCGCCACCGGCTTTTCTTCCACGGCCCATCGGCGCCGGTCTGGGCTTTCGACGTCCACCCACAAAAAGGCCTCCCAATCACTACCGCCACCGCCACCCATCCATCACTTCTGAGGCAGCGCGCTGGCCTAATCACTCACACCCGACGCCTGCCCTCGTCCCCGCGGGCGTTTCTTCAGCTCCCGCATCCGCCCGGCGGATCTGATTTCTGGGCGAAAGACCGGAAGGAGAATGGGGAGCAGATGAAGGACGTCAAAAGAAAACAAAGAGAGGGAAGAAACTTGGTGCTAGATGGGCGAAATTGATTTGTGTGAAGGCAGGGCCAAAGTAGACCGTATTGCATAGTGCGCTGGAGCGGAAGAAGATATTAGGTATAGATTACGAGTAATACCAATATTTCGACCTCAGTAGCCCGGTTACTGAGGTTAGACATCTCTTTATTGATTGGAAGTGTGGTTTGAGTGCCGACTTAGTCATTTGTGAGTGCACGACTGAATACACCTATCAAAATATTTAAAGTCGTGCAGAGCATGTCGCGAGCTAGACTGCCTCGAGCTGAGAACGAAAATCCAAACAGCAACCCGATCCAATTTTATTTAACCAATTCCCATTTTTACTAGCACTACTTCAAAGAGAATCATTTAAAAACAGTTGCTTAAATTTGAATATTTATTAATACCATTTATTGTGGCAACGGTCACATTGGTCACATCGTTAAAGAAGTCACATAGTCACTTAGAAATAATGATAATAATATTGATAATAATAATAATAATAATAATAATAATAATAATAATAATAATAATAATAATAATAATAATGTCAATCCAGGTAGTAAAATCGCTAATGGGACGGAGACAAAAGCTTGGTGTGGCCTATTCTCTGTAACAGGTCGTGCTCAGGAGTGTTCTAACGCAAGCCATTATCAGTGTTTTAATAAGTTAATGTGAAGTGTCATTAAGAGAGATCTATGGACAGCTGCCGTGAGATCTTTATGATTACTCCAAATTCCAAATAAAGTAAACGTTATATATAGTCGGATTTTTCAAAAATTAAAAATATATCTTCGCTGTCGTGATAAAAAATTAGGTGAGTCAAATCTAGATATTCCAACTCTATCAGATGGTTAGTTATGGTAGCGCAAGGGGTGTCTTCGTCAGGTATGTCTCTCACTACACCTCGGCGCCGGGTGACCTAACACTGCCCACCCACAGGGGCCGAAAGGTTTGCAGCTCCGTTCAGCGGCGCCACGCTCAGAATGCGAAGCTGGGAGCCCGGCACAAGGCGCGTCGCACGTGCCGGCGTGGTGCGGCGAACGTGCGGCCAAGAGCATCGGCGTGCACGCCAAGACGAGCTGATGCCAGCGGTCGCCGACCACGCGAATTGCACCGAGCATGCGCGCGCTGCTTTCACGCGGTGAGTTACCGTGCAGTCACGTGCATGCAATTTCAGAAATTTTGATTTTTTGATTTCATCCCCAAAGAAAACAAATATTTGAACTTTACAAGATTTATTATCTCGGATCCGAATTATTCGGTATTTAATTACATCTAGAAGATTCGATTTTTCCGGTGATCGATTTACCAGATAGATTTATCCAATGTTCGATGGTCCAATCGCACGATGTGCGAGTATATGCTTCTCTTTAATCTAATGCGTCATTTTTGGCACGTGCTTTGGTGAACAAATATGAGTCGCCAAATAAAAATATTCTGTGATCCTGACCGTAGTAACCACCCAGGCTTAATTAGATACAGTAATTATTCTCCAGATCCTTCCTTAGTAGTAATTAACTTCCCGATTTACAAATCTGCCGATTTTCTTTTGAAGAGTTTGGATTGTTTGAACGTTGCAATGCCTGGAAAGTTACAATGAAATATGTAAACATTTCACTCATAACTTTCACATATGATAACCTAGACACTCCAACCCTCTATGATGTAAAATTCGGAGAACCTCCAGACATAGCATTAGAACTTCTTCAAAACATTTTGTTTTCAGATAGGATTGTTCTTTCCGTTACAGGAATGTCGTGAAATGTTATGTATTTCTTCAAAAAAAAGTTGTAACAATTCGATAACATACTAGAATGTGGATTTAGAAGCATAGAAGTTTTGCATTATAACCTACGAAATGCTTTGGAGGACAGAAAACGGCATAAATATTCTTAGGAAAGATTTTGGGCGAAACGTTCTGGAACAGTTGCAGCTGTTGTAGTCACGTGTAGTAGGGGCGACCACAGGTGCTTTCTAGAAATAGCTTCATAGCCACATGGCTTTGGCACTCCTCGCTTTTTCTCGACCCAGAGCAAGGTGCACTAAATCACTATTTACGGGGAATTATTATTGTTTCCGTTCTTTACGCACAACCCGAAGATTAGAGTTTGTGTTTGCGTTTGGCATAGTGACAATTTCCCCCAACTATTACTCAAAGAATGGTAAGACACTGTTGGCACAGTTGTTAACGGTAGTCATGTCATATATCATTCTCACATTGTCCTGGGTCACTATCCGGTGAAAAATGTGAATGTGACGCACATGTCTTCATGTACATGTACTAGTTCAGTACATGTGCAATAGTACGTTTTAATTTCAGATTTTTTTGGTACTTCATTTAAACAAGTTATTGTAAGGTTCATGATCTTCGTTACCTATATTTTAATATTACCTATTACCTGCTTTTTTTCATATCTGCTCGTTCTCTAAAACGCATACCTAAATTACCACTATGTTGTGATTCATTTTCTTTTCTTAAATATGCATTTAACGAATCAGAATTCTTCATTTTTCAAATACATTTATATTCCGTCTATGCAATAGTCTTGTTTACTTGAATATTAACCCAAACCAAGAACAGGTTAGGAAGATTGCGGAAATCAGGAGATAGCGAATTACGTACGTTACTCATTTCATTCTCTGAATTGTTGTTGCACAGACTTGCCTGTGGCCAAGAATGGTAGGCCTACCAAACATTCGGAATGTGTGTGAGTGTTGGGATCGCCGGTCGCCGATTAGACACCGGAGTTGCGAATGTCGCGGAGCGTTTTTGTGCCGCGGAGAAGTCTCTCACTGAAACAAGGAAGAAAGAGCAGGCCGCGGTGTTGGCGCAGCGCGCGTTTACAAGCCCCGCGACCGCCGCCGGCCGTTAGACGGCGCTTGTTTGCGCAGCAACCTCACCGCCCTCTCCCTCCCCCTCTCCCTCTGCACCGCTCCGCCTCGGTCTCCCCTTCCGAAGGCCGCCTGCCGACGCGCGTCTACTCCCACCCCTCCCTCCCCCACGCACACACACCTGCTCTCGCGCGCCTCGCCGTGTCCTGCTCCGCCCCGTCCCTTTCCGCCGGACACTATCCTAACCTCCCCTTCATCTTTCGTTGCTATTTCCAGCGGGCCCGCGACGCCCCGATCCACTCCGCTCCACCCCACTGCCACCCGAATCCCAACCCCGCTTCTCCCCCCCGGCTCCACCCCGCTCCGCCCGCCTCCGCCCCGCTCCGCCCCGCTCCGCCCCGCTCCCGCCCGCTCCCGCGCCGGCTCCCGCCCCGCTCCGCACCCCGCTCCCGCCCGCTCCCGCCCCGTCCGCCCCGCTCCGACCCGCCTCCCGCCCCGCTCCCGCCCCGCTCCGCCATACTCGCGCTTCCGCATCCCACCCGCTCAGCCGGCCAGGCACCCCCCGCAC